GCTTAGTCAAGTTCTATTTGCATTGAAAGTTTGAGCTCTCAAGCATGGCATTTTTGTTTCCATACCAGTTCTTTAGTTTTTGGAATTTTAATTAATATTCAGCCTCTTCATTTATGCATCAGCAAATCTGCATGAACAGAAACACTGAATGTATTAAGAGGTGAGCAAGCATAGTTGAGATTTTTCAGTATGTTCCAATATTAACAAAGAATTACATTCTGTTTGTAGTTTTGATACTTATTGCTAATCACATTCGCTTTTTTTCATTATGACAGGAAAGCACAGGGAATGTCCACAAGAAGATGTGTTAACTTTAGCCTACTCAGCTACCTGTGCACATTTATACAGTAGTGCCTGATCAACTGTACAACAAACATTTCAAAATTTGTTCTGTTTCAACAGACATTGCTTGTGACCTGGTCCTGTAAAAGCCACTTATAGAATAAGTGAGAAATCCATATCCATTAGGAGCCATTGAGGGATTAAGGTATGGCACTGATACAACAGTTTTCAGAGAGGTGTTTAAAATAAAATCAAAAGAAAAGTCTCATTGTTGTTAGACATCCTTGGAGAAGCTGGCAGCTCACGGCCTAGACACGTAGATGCTTTGCTGGGTTAAAAACTGGCTGGATGGCCAAGCCCAGAGAGTTGTGGTGCATGGAGTTAAATCCAGTTAATGTCCAGTCACGAGCGGTGTCCGTCAGGGCTTGGTTTTGGGACTGGTCTTGTTTAATATCTTTATCAATGACTTGGATGAGGGGATCAAGTGCACCCTCAGTAAATTTGCAGATGGCACAAAATTAAGTGGGAGTTGATCTGCTGGAGGGCAGGAAGGCTCTGCAGGGGCATCTGGAAAGGCTGAAGCAATGGGCTGAGGTCAGTTGTATGAGGTTTAACAAGGCCAAGTGTCAGGTCCTGCACTTGGGGCACAACAACCCCAGGCAATGCTCCAGGTGTGAGGAGGAGTGGCTGGGAAGTGCCTGACGGAAAAGGACCTGGGGGTGTTTGTAGACAGCTGGCTGAACATGAGCAGGCA